GCAAGGTTTGGGATCTCTGTCTCCATGGTAAGCTAAGTCTTGTTTCACGGTTTTCTCTCTTGTATAAGTACCACCTGTTTGTAAGGCTACATATTTCAAAACACAGTAAGAGTTAGGTAAAGGTTCTAGAAGTTACTTTAATGCAAGCTTGCAGGAAAAGGCTTTGACAACAGCTTCTGACCACCCCTTCGTTGTATCACCCCCATCATGTGCATTACAAGACAAACCCACTGACATCTGCCTTGATGCAAGTGTCTCATGACAGAGAAACACCCGAATTTGATCCATCGCAGGCATGCGACATCAGGATGGAAGAAAACTCTGGAAAGCAGGCTTCCAGAACCAATAACCCATCCACTGTCCTCAATATCCAAATACGAGGACCTCCTACTTCAGGAAAGGTAGTACCAGGGAGCTAGAGTTGCAATGAGTCAAATCTCATCTGCAGGCTCGAACTTACTTGCCCCAATTGTTCAAATATATTTGGCTTCACAAGAAGCCATGTTTTGAAAGAACTGAGCTGCAAAAGAACATCAGGTCTCAACTGAGAAAGTCCAGAATTAGTTAAAACATTGAGATTTTTCAGAGGAGAACAAGCTCAGCAAACTAACCCACTAGAAGTGCAAATCAGAGAATTATTACTATGTTACTGTGAGCATTTTATCACCTGTTGAGCAACTGGGAGAGAAAACAGCAAAGCGCTGGGACGAGAAATGGAGAAACCATTCACTGAAAAAAATAGTCCTAACTTGCCTCATAATTTTGTCAGATCTTTATTAAAAGGAACATCTGCCTACTGTCAGATTTATGACTGTTGTTCAGAACAACAGAAGATGCCCTAATCTTTCACGTAGGCATCTTCAGTGGATTGGACTGGACTGGTAAAACCTTGTAGAACACTTATTACATTCTTATACATGAGGAGTCAAAGGAGTTCAGACTGAACAGGCCCCACCTTTTCTCAAAGCTCATTGTCATCTTTCTTGCCATTTGAAGACAGTAGATTCAAAAGGATATGACTGCTTTGTGTTACCGATTTCTACCACTGTCACTCTATCCAAATAAAAATACATGTACCCTGTCCTCAAAATTATTTTGCTGGGTGCCTAGACAGCTCAATTAAGTTGGTGAAATGGGCCACAAATAAGCTCTGTAATTATTTTGTGGGTACATTGCGCATCTTGTTATCAATTTAAGTTACAGGACCACATTTGTTTCAAGGCAAATCTTAAACTATTTTCTTAAACTGTTCTAATTTCTGCAATTTCTGTAAGATATCTGATTTCTTTGCCAAAGGGTTATTCACTTGGTTATCACACACTGACCCTAAGTGCAGCAGAATTCATAGACCGAGCATTCATGGATGTACTCTGTCCCACTTCCCTACTTAGCACAGCAAGGTTTGTGATGACTCAAGACAAAGCCACTCATTTAGTAAAAAGGAAGCATTAGATGGCTCAAGCAGGATTTAATCTCATCTAAGGAACCATAATTTTTGTGCTTAAAACAACAGACCCAAACAGCATTTGTATGATTTTGGAAGCACTTGCGCACACGAGTAACATGCAACTTTTCCATTTCAATCACCATATCAATCTCAACTGTTTAGTAATGTATTCCCTAGGGAAAAAAAGCAGGTAAGTTAAAAGAAAGGTTTTAGTTTTCAGCCACACTGAGGCTATGAAATAAAAAGAACATGTCCTAAACTATTTGCTGCTACTTGCAAAAAGTCTTCAGAATTGAAGACAGGACTTGAACAGCCTTACTTCACCTTACCTTTGCATAAAGGAAATTATTTTAAAATCTAATTAGCCAAAGCAACAAGTCACAAAAATACCACATCAGTAAGTGCTATGAAAACTGTTTATTAAAAAGGCATAAAATATTTTTTTCACGTATTTCTCAGATAGAACGGTTCTAAATTCTTTTTTCACTTAATGAGTGAAGAACTATTTCCTAACCTAACTTGAAAAAAAAAAAAATTAAAACCTCCACCTTCAGTGTTAAAACATGGTAGGAAGATTAAAAGTTCCCAACCCAGTCAAACTGTGTGCAAGTCATCACTGTACCCCACCTGAAGACAATGCCTCTTCACAAGGACAGAAACCCTACTATAAAAGTAAAGTGAAAAATAGGTTCTGAAGTTTATACAAAATAATATGCTTGCAGCAATAGTCCTTACTCTACTCTAAATCTTAGGATGCTTTCACCATTCTGTATGTTCCTCTGTTTGGAGTACACATACACGGTAGCCATTCCTTGGGAAGTAGCAACTTCTAAGGTTAGAATCAGTAAGACTTCAACAAAGCGAAAAACAGAGAAACGCCAAGTCATGTCCAGTATGAGGGTAAATACTAAACAAGCTTTAGCCGTTCCTGAAGAGCAGTATTTCAGGAGGCCATTCACATAGGGCTTCCCCGAGAACCAGTCTATTTTGGATTGAAGAACTCTAGAAGATAAATGAAGCATAAATTAAGGACTCAGGATTCATGTGTATATATGATACACTGGAAAAAAGAAGTTTAACTAATTTTCTACAGGTTTGTAGCTAAAACCTGCAATACATTGATTTTACCTACTCTCCATGTAAAGACAAGAAACTGAAAATGAAAAAAAGAGTGATAATTTAAATTGCAGTAAACCGGTATGTTGTTTAGACAGTTCTACTATTAAAAAAGGCATAAAGATTGCCGTTTTTCAGCAAGCTTAGAGATTGTGCATGCTACATTTTAGTCTTTATTACCAGTTGGATTTTCTGAATATAAAAGTGATTTACTCCTTTCCCCAGAGTTTCCTCTACCTTTATTTTTTCCCCACATTTACCTACTCCGTTTCAATATAAATGTGAAGACAGAAAGATTCCAAGTGTTTCAAGATCTAGAATGCTGGAAGATTTTCTCCACAGGTGTTCATAAAACTGGATCCAGGTTTTGAATATTAGTTTTTATTAGCTTACTCAGAGAAAATTTGGAGCAAATGTATTTTTGTCTGTCAATACTAAGTGTTATCCAAACAACAACATAGTCAATATATTTATTGTGTTCTCATATACAGAACATCACCCCTAGTAGAATTCCAGTTGAAAGACTATTTGAAAACATGGTTATTTTCAATTGGAAAAGGTTTTAAAAGCTGCAAAACTGGTGGAAACAAAGAGCATACAACCACCTTTGCAACTTTACTCATCTACTGTGAGCCAAACGAGATATCAAAAGGAACATGTAATACAGAATATACATTTAGCCATACACGAGTGATCAAAAGTGTACAGACAATGTCAATATCACCACCATATATTTATTTTGATCAACTTTAAAAAAAAATTACAATAGCATATAATGGTTTAAGATTTCATAAACAAACTCAGAAAGTTGTAATGGTCAACAGTGAACCTACAGAGGGGGAAAAAAAAATCCCTTAACAAGAATTTGGAAATAAAACTTCAAAAAGCTTTTGTAAAAATCACTCTTCCATTTCCTGTTGGAACGACATCACTCTTCTGCCAACTACAGCAGCTTCTATGCCCCATTTTGGCCACTTCTCCCACAAGCTTTCACGATTTCTCATTTGTCATTCCTGGTGTCTGGAACACCCACCTTCCTTCTCTTGAAGTCCCATTCTAAGATCCACTTCTGCAACATCGCCTACAGAAAGAGTAGGCAACTAAAACACTCATTCACTGTGTCAACAATGTGCCAAGCATCAGCTTTCACTGTGTACGCTGTACAGCAGAGCGTTCATCACTCTTTACCTTTCTTACTACACCGTAATGATTTCTCTCCCTCAGTGCATCAAATTTAAAAGTGGGGATTTAGCATCTAAGAATCACTTTGGAGAAACAGTGTCTACTGGTTTTGAGAGTGCTAGCTGAACCTCTCAGTGCTCACAGAAAGGAAAGTATGTTCAACATCATAAATATTCCACACTGCCCGTGTGCATCTGTGATACATGCACATATGTAATGGACATAAACAGAAAAGAGCAGCCTATTTAATTTTCTTTACACTGTAGTACATTTTAATCCTTTGCTGGCTCATCTGAAATTTCTCATCATAATAACTTATGAAACTGAATTGGAAAGCTGCATTTAAGCATTCTGGCTTTTGGTTTGGTTTTTTTTTTTTTTTTTTTTTAAATGCCTTCTACTCTAAACATATTTCCTTCTATCTTTGAAAATCTGGATTAAAAAAAAAATCAAATAACTCAGTCTATAGGAAATGTTTATGTTTACATAGGTCGAGGTCTATCAAGACTATGTTCACATCTGCTATTAAGCAACTATACTAGAGTCAAAGCAATGACACCCTTCTGAAAGTCTGAAGGGGTGTGTTTTTTTTTTTTTAATTACAAAGAAAATCCACATATATGTTGCTTACATATATTAAATGCAAGCCTGTCAGGAGATGGCATTACTGACCTTCATGTGACATGAACCTCAGGTCATGCTTTCAGTCTTACCCATATTTCTACATGCCACTCCATATGAAAGTGAAATACTTTACTGGCTAATTTATTTATTTCAATAATAAGCAGAGCTTCAGTAATGCCAATGCAGGTCTAACATACAATAACGAATTATCAAGGAAAAAAATGTTTAAGAATTGTTGGGTTTGTAACTTTGTCATTACAAATGGGAAGTAGAATACTTGAGCAGAGAAGTAAGCTGCACAACGCATTTTCAGAAACAAAAAAGGGTTGAAGATGTAAAATGAAAAACCACAACAAAACCACTGTAGACACAACATGTAAATATAAGATATAAGCAATAACCCACTTAAGTTACAAATACAATTCTTAACAATAAAAAAAAAACAACCCTGGCAAGCACATGGCTGAAGTTTACATGTATAAACTCACCAAAATTAAAGCACTTGCCACTGAAAACACCATCATTCACGGCTTAAAGCTAAATGAAGCCCTTCCTCACATTTATTTCATGTACTTGAAACTATCTAGCTATTGAAAGGGGGGGAGAAAAAAAAAAAGCTTATTCAACTTACATCTTTTTCTGACCGATGTGGGAACATCGATGATTGGCTGTAGTACATGTTTTCATCATGGTAGTCACCATCAACCCCCTCTACAAACTTCTTCCTTGAAGCACCAAACATGCTGTTTGTCACCTAAATAAAAAAAATGATTATATAATATATATGATTTGTTTTGCTACATACTTATAATAGCACATATTTTAAAACATCAAATTTCTCAAGTTAGCCTCTCCTGAAGTAAACACTTTCCATCTAAAAGAAAATGAAGGAAAATTCTTTAGAGCTCAGCCACCTTATATGAAATAACAATAATAAAAAAAGGAAAAAAAATTATCTGTAAAATCAGTCCCATGTCTCACCACCTCAACTTTGGAAAAGCACCTTTCTACTCAACCCTGCGCATGCAGAGCCATGATTAAGTAAGAGAAGGTTGAGTTTAACCACACTCAACAACCTCATCACAGATTGGCAAAGTTACTGCAGACAGTCGTTAAAAAAAAAAAAAAAAAAAAAAACACAAACCACTAGATTTTATTTTGCCCTTACTCCCAGAGGCGCAGACGCACACAGACAGAGCTGCTAACTCAGGAACTGGAAACTGAAGAAACAGCAACCACACAGCTGGTCACAGAACCTTAATTCATTAGAAAACCTAATCCCGCAGCAAGGTCATACAACATCGCTAAAGCATCTACCACACGCAGGGCATATTTATACACCTGACTCTCTTAGTTATGTAAAAATACATACACCTCTGTTAAGTTCCTAATCTATCTGGCTACAAAACACTATCGCACCACAGTGTGAGCTAACCAAGCCCTGTTTTAACCTAATGGGTTAACGTTCAAACCAGCGAAACAGCACATACTGGTCAGCACTGAACAACTCGCCCAGTTTCTTGTACATGAGAGATTGGAGAGAGCACAACCAACAGGATGGCAACCAACCCTGAGCTACCACCCTACAAACATACCTTCAAACAGATCTTTAACAACTTGAAAGGTAAGGAAGTGAAGTTACAGTTAGCTCATGAAATGCTCTGAGCCCTTAGATTTGCTATCTTCACTACTGATTTTGGCATTAGCTAAACGTTAAAAAAAAGGACAATTTTAATTTATTTTTTTTTTAAAGAGTCATTTTGCACTACCTTATGCTCATGCTTGAAATTGAAATTTCAAAACATTTATTCTGGCTGGCTGCAAGGAGAGTTACTTTCAGCTTGAAATGCTCTTATCCCTACTGACACAAAATTACTCTGATATTTTTCACAGTGTGGCTTATTCAAATCTCACCTTTATAGAAGATTTCTAGGCAGCGTTTAACAACATGGATTCTACTATACTAGTAACAACTTAACCCATGATTTCAAAGTCATAGGAGTTTTGCGTAAAGTCAATATTTTGGATGCATTTAATACAGGTATAACAACAGAATTGTCCTAAAACATTCAGCTAAACAGAAGCTTATTCCACTACTCCTACAAGAAGTTTTCAGATATTGAGACTACTGATGTCTCAAATTTATGATCTGTTACCGACACATGAAGGCATGTAAAGGTACTGCACACCTTCTCCATATGAAACTTTTATGTTATGATATTCACAAAAATGTGCAAATGTAAGGTCCCAAATTGCTCGAATGCATTCAGCTGACTTTCACACTTGTAGCAAAGCTTTCATTACACTGTAAGCATATCCTACTGTGCTAATCCCCTTACAATGCAATTATCACCTACCAGATGGGATGGAGCATTTAACAGGCTAAGGGGATTACCTTGTCCTTTGCTCTGCCTGAGTAAAGTGCAGAGAGATGAGCAGTTGCCTTTAACTGCTCTAAAAAGGATAGTGAAATGCTTTGGTGAAGCTGTCCCGAGCAATGAGGAGAAGCTGAGCATCTCAACCAACTGCTCTTGAGAAGGTAAAAGGCAGCATCTCACGAGGCCCTAAGAATTTTTTGTTGCTCCTTTAACAATATCTGGGATAAGAGAAGAATTTTTTTTTTTTTGCCACATAACCTTCTCTTGTGATACATCATCAGAACAACAAAATTTAATTGTGATAGAAAGCAAGTCACTGAAGCATGCACCATACTGTACTAATGTAATACCTAACCCTGAGCTACAGTACAGCAACAATATAAGGGGAAAAAATGATTGCGTCTTTGACCCTGTAAGCTTTTGATCTTATTTCCGCAAAGGTTTACACATGGCTGGCTACATACACACCATAAAGATTTCTGAGTCAGTGGGGTAAGGTCGGAGCTTTCAGTCTTGGAATATATGTTTAAAGCTGCTGCAAGAGAGCTAGTATGTCCAAATATGAAGTCTATATACCGAAAAGCTGAAAGATATTTTAAAAACTTTCTCGGTGGAATTTAAATTGTCTAAAAGATTATTTTCTATATTGCTAATTGTATAAGACAGGGGCCCAAAAACTAATCAAGATTATGCCCTGAAGACTGATGGAGTGCACTGATATTAATACGGAGTCTTAAAAGAGCATGGTTATTAAAAAGAGAAATGAAGAAAACTTCTAATAATTAGATAGATTAAATACCGATATTTTTATTGGCAACCCATATTTCTACACGAATACCCAACAGCACTGTACCAGTGAACTCCAGAGAGCAGAGCATCGCAGGCTGCAGCTGCAGGGGAAGAGAGGAAGGCCAGAGGAGCCCTGCCTGCAACCCAGCTGCATCGCTGCGCCCCACTGCTCTGAAGACCTTCAAAAGCTTTTTGCAGAGATGGACACTTCTTCACAGCAGCATTTTTGTAAGTGATTCGGTGTCGTTCAATGCTGCCACGCAAAGCAGCCGCATGCAGCGCTCAAGCTGTCCGCGCTCCCACCGAGGGAAGCGGTACAGGCACTGGAGGGCATTCTGGCAGCTGCCTGCGCCCCTAACAGGATTTCACTTCACTGGAAAGAACTGCCACTTGTTCTCAGGGCGAGCCACAGCACAGCTCACAACAGAGAAACGTGGTGTTGCAATTCACGCTACTATCCAGCCCTGTTACAAAACTAAGAGAGCACGATAAAATGAGGCACCCGCTAAAGACCAGTAACCGAAAGGGCAGGAACTGGGATTAGAGACTGAAGCTGCAGCTGCCACAGCCAGGCTGCTTACTTCTTGCTTGTTCTTAGGCTAACATCAGCAGCCAACTTGTCTACTTCCCAGTAGTTGCCAGTGACAGTGAACGACTGGCCAACTTCTGGATCAGAGCACCTACCTATCCCTGTGCAGACTTCTGTAATACTACAGCAGGCTCACGCAATGACAGTGTCAGATGCTTGCCAAGTTAGCAGTAGGCATCTTTCTATCCACATTAACTTATTCCAGCGTTCACTAACATACTCATTAGCCAGTCATGCTAGATGCATATGCACAGATACCAAAAAAAAAAAAAAAAAACCAAAAAAACCCCCATGGTTCCAGTACTATTTATAAGAAGATGTGAGAATAACTGGGGCTGGGCCAAACGCAGGCAGATCTGCAGATGGGACTTTGTTGCTTATTTCTTAGGACAAGAAGCCACCAAGAAACCTCATACACAAGGACTGCAGCTCCTTTTTCATAGGCTGTGTCCAACCAGCTACAAAATTAAAATACAGCAAAGTTCATGCAGCATTTATAAAATACATTTTAAAACCTTTGGAAAGTAACAGTGACCTGTTGGCTTTGTACCATCACAGGGTCTGGACTGATGAGGTGAAATACAAGAGCTGATTTCTACCTTTAAGTCCCTCATTTATACATACATACCTATGTATATACACACACACACATTTATGTCAGCACAACCTCACAGAAGTGGTACTCTAGTTGCACGGCAATTTTATTAAGTAAAGAATTCCTGTCTACTCAGCCTAATTTCATACAGGTCCCTCTCCTAATCCTTTAACTACTTTTCCTGTTCTACTGTGGGAACTCAGTCCTCTGTTGCACAAGACACACTGGCAGTGTAACCATTCATTAAAAATGTAAAAATGGTGCACTTCTGTCAATTCATCCTTTAGCATAATATTGCAAAAGTACTTTACAACTCCCACTGGTAGACCCATGTACAACTATTATCAGAAAATATTTGCAGTACCAGAGGAAAGAAAGGGAAGGAGCTACATGTTAGGATGGAGTTCAGAGAGCTAACCAGCCATGCTGCCACGAACCATGCCCATTTCTGATCTGATGAACACAAGTGCTTCTTTCAAAGCACAAGCACATCACGTTTAAAAATCAGATTTGCCCACAACTTCAAGTCAACGTTAACCAAGCAAAATGCACCCGATGAGACCTTTAAATTGCTTCTGTGGAACATTTCCTAACCACCACTACAGGGGAACTAAAAGCACCATACAAATGTTAAGAACTTGAAGCATCTAATAAGCAGTTTGCAGTTGTTGACCTTTATCCTTCAGCTGAGTACATAGCACACAACAATCAACAACACTTATTTCAAAAAAAAAACCAAAAAAACCCCCACAAAACACACAGATTTCAAGAAAAATCCTTTTCATTAGAAGATATATATATGCAATATAGCATACTTCAGCACACAAAGTTATTTGTTAGCAGTAACTGAAAATACATTACTGACACAGAATTTGTAAGGAATAATTATTAAAAATCTTGTTGTCTTAAGCTGCAAAAAGATCTTCTCTATAATCACTTATAAAGTGATGCTATGATTGTATATTAAATTAGTTTAACAGCCTAAAGCAAATTATAGTATTAAAATATGAAAAATAATTATGTTTCTGTTTTGCAATATTACTATAGGTTGTGCCCAAGGAGAGCTCATTCACAACATTAACACAGCCAGCTCTAAACTAAAAGGCTACCATAAAATCCCCCTGGAGAATAAATATTCTTAATTTTGCATAGAGCAGAAAAATCAATCATTGCATTACAACTGATTAAACTCATCATCATTATGAGAGCTGAAAACTATATACCGCAGTACAAGTTAAAAAAATAAATAAATAAATAAACCACTTCAGGAATTTTAGCTGTATATTGCCTCTCCTGCTCCTCCAATGACTATGGTATTTGTCAACATGCACACTATCATTACGTGAGGGCAATTAGAAGTTGTAATCTCAGTCTCACGTTACAGAGTTTCCACTCATCTATAT